GTTTTTGAGGAACCTATACATTGTTTTACACAGAGGTTGTTCAGATATACATTCCTAATAGCAATGTAAGGGGGTTTCTAATTCACCACAGCCTTGCCAGCAATTTTCCTTTTTTTCTTTTCTTTTTTTTTTTTTTGAGAGGTTTTTGCTATAGGGTGCGTGTGCTCGACAGAAAGACAGAGAGAGACAGAGAGACAGAAAGCAAGAAATCACACCCCCAGGGGGGATGGCCACACCACAATCCCTTCTCCTCCATTCTCCTCTCAGGATCTTGGGCACGCACGCACACACGCCCGGCGTGAGTTTAAGCTGCCAGGTCCAGAACTTGAACTGTGGTTGACTACATGGGAGCCCAGTGCCATAGCCATTACACCAACTGCTGGTCTTGCCAGTGCTTGTTCTTTCTTTTTTTTCTTTCCTTTTTCTTTTCTTTTCCTTTTTCTTTTTCCTTTTTTTTTGATTCTAATTATTCTAATTGAGGTTAGATAGTATCTCATTGTGGTTTTATTTTGCATTTATCTTATGACAAGAGATTTTGAACATTTTTTTCATATGCCTTTTGGCCATTTCTGAGTCTTCCTTGGAGAGATTATTGCCTGCTTTAAGAGGTCTTATTTAAGAAATCTTCGGAAATCAGCCGTTAGCTTAATGGCTATGTCGCTGGACTCCCACATAGTCAACCGCGGTTCGAGTCCCGGACCGGTGGCTTAAACTCATGCCGGGTGCGTGTGTGTGCGTGCCCAAGATCCTGAGAGGAGAATGGAGGAGAAGGGATTGCGGCGTGACCATCCCCCCAGGGGGTGATTTCTTGTTTTCTGTCTCTATGTCTCTCTCTGTCTGTCTGGCGAGCGCACGCGCCCTAAAGCGAAAACCTCTCAAAAAAAAAAATCTTTGTCTACTCCAACATCTTCAACAATTTCCTACCAGTAGTTTTAGAGGTTGGGTTTATATTTAAATCTTTGATCCAAAGGTTCTTATTCCCATCTTGAAGATCCTGGTTTTGGTTCAGCTCTTTTTCCACAGTGCATATCATAGTCACTCTGAAAACCTGCACCCAGAATGATCTACTTTACCATTTTCTTAGGCAGATAATTTTGTACTCTATGAAACATTTTGAAATAATAATATTGTATGAACAATGAATAGGTTAGTTATTGCTAGAGGTGAAGGACTGGACAGGGAGGGAGATGGACACAGCTGGAAGAGGGCAGAGTTGGCTGTCCTTGTGTTTATAAAACCATTCTGTGTTGTGGACTCATCTATGTTAATAATCTGTCATGGTATTGTACTATGGTTTTGCAAGATGTTTCCACTGGAGAAAGAACACATAGGCCTCTGCATTATTTATAACAAATGAATGTTAATCTGAAATTTTCCTCAAATAAAAACGTTAACTAAAAGTAAGAATGAAAAAACTAAAAAAGAATATTTAATAGACACAAGGATGAAAAGTTAGTATCTTTACCTCGTTTGACACGCAATTCATTTATGGTTTGAGAATCCACATTGTTTGCTATAAAAATGCATACTGGTTAAATGTAAATGACATAAAATTTAAATAAAAAATACAAACTTAAAAAAGTCAACTACATAAACTATATTTTCCTTCACAGTTGAAGTTTTGATGTGTTTCTGTTTTTGTTTGGACTGTTATTTCCTTTCTGTTTGCCTCTATGCCTATTTCCTGAGATCTGGAAAGACCTTGAAGAAATTTCAATTAAAGCTTCATCCTTACTTGGTTCATGATTTCACGCTCCTGAGCCCCATTTCTGCAACACAGAATAAATTTGCTAATAATGAGTCCTACTGGAATGGTATTGTGTAAAAATTAAATGAAATAAACCATATAAGTTTCTATATTCACTTAATTGTGCATAAAGTGATCCACATATAGCTCGTAATTATCCATGTCACTAAATGACATTTTTTTAAATTTAAAAATATTTTTAAGATTTTTGTGTGTCCTTTCTCTAGTGGAAACATAAACACTAAATTACATTTTTTTAATTTAAAAATATTTTTAAAGTTTTTATGATAGAACATGTATACTTGTAGGAGAGAGGGAGAGATAAAGGAACACAGACAGAAGGAATTTGAGAAATCATTTTCCCTCTGCAGGGGGATGGTCATGCTGCAATCCCTTCTCCTCCAGTCTCCTCTCAGTGTTTGGGATACACAAGCTCATTTGACCAATGTGATGTTCAAGCCACTGGGTCCGGGACTTAAACTGTGCTTTCGGCCAGGTGGGATCCAGGGCTATAACTATGCCACCTGTTGCCCTGTGACAATTAAATTTTAACTCATGGTTGGTGAAAGGTGCTAATGACCTTTGGAGGTGGGAGAGTTCACAGAGAAGGTGTAATCAAGACTAGATTCTTCATGCTTTCAACTTGGTCTCTTGAGAGTAGCAAATCTTCAGAAAATGGTCCTTTCATTCCAGACCAGTGTCCATGAGGGAAATAAAGTACTAAGACGTTGTAGTTATAAGGAGGAAATGTACCTAATGAGCAGATATACCGAGCTGTAAATATTTCATTTGTAATTGTCCCTCAAGGAGTACCGCCTCGGGCTGGATAAAACACAGTTGTTTTTGGAATCTACAGTCTGGCTAGGGTACCATGCTTAATTCTTTCATTGTGTCTTGTCTGGGGACAGAGCTTAAGTCTCCATCATCCACTTTCCAGGGAGAAATTCATCCTTTCAGAAGAAGACTGTCCTCTTTGAGAGCCCATGCAGGTGAGTCTGAGAGCCCTGTAGGTACTGCAGGAATGGTTCAGAGAGAATGGATGTTAAGAACATCTACCTGAGATCACCTGAGAGCCAAACCAGCCTAGCAAGAGCTGAGACATTTGGTTACTTGTCTGGCTACATTCTTTATCATTAGTTAGTTTATTTAATATGTTAACAAGCCATGTGTCTGTCAGACTTAGCAATGCAGGCATCGTTCTGGACAATTTAGTGATGGGAATAGACATCCAGTTGAATGGGGGTGAAGAAAAGATGAGAGAAAAATAATATTTCAGTCAATTTAGAACATGTGCCCAGAAATTTGCAGTTAAAGAAGTAGGAAAAGTAGAATCAGAGTTGTGATAAGATGTGTAATGACTTTAGTCTTCTGAGGAATTTTTGAATTGTGGGTATTTTTTCAATGACTTTAGTCTTCTGAGGAATTTTTGAATTTTGGGTATTTTTTCATGTTTCTGTTTCTGTTTCTTTTTCTTTCTTTCTTTCTTTTTTTTTTTTTTGGAAGTTGGAGAAGAATGGATTGCTTGCAATTCATACCTTGTAATAATAGTTCATGAGACATACATTTCACAGTTTCTTCTTTCACATTGGGCATGCACACATACAAAATTATTCACAAGTAGAAAATGAGCAGGTTAAAGAGTTTTTACTTACATTTATCTTCTTGCTGGTGAGGTTTAATAGGTTTGTGAGTCTGTTAGCTTTTTACTTTACTTGCAAATCATGCAAGTCTTTTGTTTTTCTGTTCTGCGGTCTGAATATTCTTTATTTCTTTTTTTTTCAAAGAATTATTTTATTTAACTTTATTTATTTATGTATTTATTTTAATTTGACCAGAGAGGGACAGAATGAGAGAGTGAGAGAGAGAGAGAGAGAGAGTGAGAAAGCAAGTTGCCAGGTCCAGGACTCAAACTGTGGTCAGCCATGGGGGAGTCCAGCACCCTTAACCACCACACCACCTGCCAGCCCTTCTTCATTCTTTTGATTTTTTTTATCCTGTTAAATAGTGAAGCAAAGTTTTAAATAAAAATTACAGAATACCATGAATTATTTTATGTATTGATTGATAAAATACAGATATATACTGGGTGAATGTGAAAAGTTAATAGATTTTATGTTATCAAATCTAATAGTAAATCATATTATGTACATACCTACTCATCCCAAATTTTTATTAACTTTGAAAAATTTTTTCACATTCATAGTTAAAATAAATTCCATTTTTTTCTATAGGGAAGTTGTGCTCACCAGAGAGAGAGAAAGACAGAGACCGGGAGATGGAAAGTGAGAAATCATCCCCTTCCCTAGGAGGGATGGCCACATTCCAATCACTTCTGCTCCTTTTCCACTTATAAGTTTGGACATGCATGCACAGATATCCAGTGTGATTTTCAAATTATGGGGTCTGAGATTCAAAGGGCAGTCAGCCATGTGGGAGTACAACACCTTAACCACTATGATATTTGTTGCCCCCCTCCGCCAAATTGTGACTAATATAATACCGATGTCTGACTACTAATCAATGGATTAAAATGAGGAGAGATCTATTTTGACCCATAGAATACCTTAGAAATGTAATTCTGTGTGATTTCACTTAACTAAGGTATCTGAAGTAGCCAAAGTCATAGAAGAAGACAGTAGAATGGTGGTTCCAGGGGATTGGTGTAAGGGAGAAACAGACAGCTTTCATTGGATATAAAATTATGGTTATTGGGCCAGCTGGTGGCTTGCTTGGTAGTTAAGATGACTGGATGGTACATGGCCGACTGCATAGATCAAATCCCAGACACAGCAGCTTGGAAAACATGCCATTCCTGTGTGCATGTATGCCTAACATCTTGAGAAGATTGTGGTATGGCCATTCCCTCTGGGGGTGATTTCTCATGTTTTCTCTCTCTCTCTTTGTTTCTCTTTCTCTCTGTCTGATGAATGCATGTGCACTTTGGAAAACAAAAAGAAAAATACCTATCAAAACATCACATTGGATGTAATAAATATGTACTATTATTATTTGTCAATAAATAAGTCAAAATCCTGTAGAATACATGATCTATGGTAACAAAGAAGAGGGATAGGAATTGCAAATCAGAGATGGCACTGTGAAAGCCTAAAGCAGATTAGAAGTATACAAAAATAAAGAAAAGAAATTTGTGACTGCAAAATATAAACTATGGCATTTCAACCATGTGAGTAATACCTGTTTGTGTGAAATTAGCCACCTTATTTTCCTCTTTTCAGGTAATTACCGCTGACACATGGAACCAGGGAATGATACACAAATTTCACAATTTCTGCTTCTGGGATTTTCAGAGGATCTGCAATTACAGCCCCTCATATTTGGACTTTTCCTCTCCATGTACCTGATCACCTTGTGTGGAAACCTGCTCATCATGGCCACCATCTCCGACTCCCACCTGCACACCCCCATGTACTTCTTCCTCTCCAACCTGTCTTTTGCTGACATCTGTTTCACCTCCACCACTGTCCCAAAGATGCTGGTAAACATCCAGACACAGAGCAAGGTCATCAGCTATGCAGGCTGCATCACCCAGATGTTCTTTTTCATCCTCTTTGCAGCATTAGAAAACTCCCTCTTGACTGTGATGGCCTATGACCGGTATGTGGCCATCTGTTATCCTCTGTACTACTCTGTCATCATGAACCCCTGGCTCTGTGGAAAGCTGGTTCTGGCATCGTGGACCTTAAGTGCCCTGTATGCATTATTACAGAGCCTAATGGTGTGGCGGCTGTCCTTCTGTACACATGTAGAAATTTCCCACTTCTACTGTGATCTCAGTAAGATGGTCCACCTTGCCTGCTCTGACACTTTTATTAATGACATGGTGATCTATTTGGCAGCTGTGTTACTGGCTGGTGGTCCCCTCACTGGGATCCTTTATTCTTACTCTAGGATAGTTTCCTCCATTCGTGCAATCTCATCAGCTCAGGGGAAGCACAAAGCATTTTCTACCTGTGCTTCTCACCTCTCAGTTGTCTCCTTATTTTATGGCACAAGCCTAGGAGTGTACTTTAGTGGTGGTGCTACCCATAGCTCACACTCAAGTGCAGCAGCCTCGGTGATGTACACTGTGGTCACCCCCATGCTGAACCCCTTCATCTACAGTCTGAGGAATAAAGACATAAAGAGGGCCCTGAAGGGCACTGTAGGAGGAAAATGTCAATTAGCCTGGACCTGAAGTAATGCCCATGATAGCAGAGTTCAATGTCTTGGAATAAAAAATTGTGATTCTCTGATCAGATTGCTAAAGTACTTGTCTACACAATTTAAATAACATGGTGTTTACGTTCTACATTCTCTCGTATTCAGCAAAGATATTCCTAGCCTTGTATCAGAAATTTAAAATTTTCACATCTCATAGGAGAACATGCACACTCTTTTTTTTAAAAAAAAAATTTTCAGAAATTTAAAATTTTCACATCTCATAGGACAACATGCACACCCTTTAAAAAAAAATTTATTAAGAATTATTTTTCTTGGGGACCAGTGGGTGGTGTGGTTTGAGGTGCTGGACATTCCCACATTGCTGAACACAGTTCAAGTCCTGGACCTGCTAGCTTTCTCTCTCTCTCTCTCTCACTGTCTCTCTCTCTCTGGTCAAATTGAAAATAAAAATAAATGCATAAATAAAGTTAAATATATAATTCTTTTTAAAAAGAAGTGAATAAATAAAGTTAAATATATAATTCTTTTAAAAAAGAAGTTTTTAAAAAATTTATTTATTATTATATTTATTATTTAACTTGACCAGAGAGAGAGAGAAGAGGGTGGGAAATGAGAAAGCCAGGTACCTGGTCCAGGACTTGAACCATGGTTAGCCTTGTTGGAGTTCGGTGCCTCAATTACAACACCACCTACTATCCCCACACATGCGTCTCTTAAGAATAATGTATTCTCAAATGATGTATATAATTCTGAGCATGCTTTCTAGAGTGTTACTAAAATAACTGTTTTGCATTGTGTTGTGCTTATTGAAAAAGAGAATGACAACAAGAATAAACAACTAGAATAAAACCCCACATTTTGTTTGGCGACTAATGCCATTAATGTAATTAACAGTAAGGAAAAATCTGAAACAGCAGATTTTTGTGTACGTGTCTGTCCTTGCTTCAACTATCTCTATCTGAAATATAGATGTTAAAATATTAGTGTGTTTGATTACCATAATAAGCTCTTTAGAATCCTACTGTGTTATTCAGCTCAGGGTTCATATTGCCTTCTGTAATCACTGTCAAAAGTTGATGATCAAGCCCAGACTCTGTGGACAAACCATAGCATAGCATAATACAGAGCATGGACTAAGCATGGTCTACGTGTGGACCATGGTACAAGTCCTGAGCCCAGTCAGCTTGAAATCTCACTGGATGGGTGTTGTAGCCAGGATCCTGGAGGTCTGGGGAACTGGAGGAAGGGAATATCAACATGGCCAAGTCCTGTAGAAAGTGCTTCTCTCTATCTTTTTTCTGTTTTGAAGTGTATTTATTTTACATTCATTCACTGATCATCATCACAGCATACAAAATGCAGTTTCCCATCTAAAATACACGGTGTAGTGGCTTAGTCATACATGTTGTCATCAACAAATAATTTCCACTTCTTGTTTATCATACATATATGTATCCATCCCTCCCATCTCTCACTCTCTGCCATTTCCCACCCTTCTCCCACACTATCTCTGGTCTCTACAGTTGCATCCATTCTTCCCCCCCCAAACACACACACTTTAAGGTTAACAAAATATCTTAATTGATCTAACTACTTTCAATAGCAAGTTCAGCTGATATATAAATAGCTGTAAACAAATATTTGACTTTAGGCATGAAACTGTGAGTAGAATGAATATACTATAAAATAGCACCTAGCTGAGGCTATATAGCTTACTGTGGTCATTAAATAGGTATTTTTAATTTTTTTATACATATATAAATTTAATTTCAAGAAAGGCAGTTTTAACTTTAATAAATCAAAATAAATAAAAAGTTAAGAGAATTTTGCTTAAGACTTAGAGCTAGAAAGCAAGTTAGGATTCTGTTCAAATAGTAGGTATGTGGATCTGTTGACAATTCAAGACAAAAATCCTTATCTTTGGTGTAGAAAGCATAGAAAAAGATTAGTATTGTTTTAGTCAAAAGTCATAAAATTTTATTACATC